ATATATGCAATTAGTACTGCAAAATAAACGTGCCTAATAAGCATTACAAGCTAGAATATCTTTATTAATATTTGCTATATTTTCTCCAACATATTTTATTAAACATTATCTTTTGCTGCATTTCGAGTGATAATAATAATAATAATAATAATAATAATAATAATAATTGTCATTTGGGCTTAACTGTTTGGATATATCTCTTTCAAAATACCTGATGCAACTAATAATCTAAATTATAGCTGTACAAAATTAAAGGTTTGGTTTTTAATGCTTGCCTGTATATATGGGCTTCCAATAACTACGCTGATATCTATTGATAGTGTAACTAGGTTACACCACGACACATGGCTGGTGGCCATCTTGATGCACTTTGAAGCACATGGTCAGCAGCCATCTTGGGGCGCCTGAAAGTACATGATCGGTGGCCATGTTGATGCTCCTGGATGCACATGTTTATTGTCCATTTTGGAACTTACAAGCTGCATGAACAGATGTCATCTTGGAACTTCAAGAGGGGAGGGGACAAAGAGACACACAGAGGGGCTGTGGGGCCAAAAAGACACACAGAGTGGATGGACACATAGAGGGGCTGTCGGCAGACACAATGGCACACAGAGGGGCTAGGGGACAAAGAGACACATAGAGTGACTGGGGGCAAAAAGACACACAGAAGGGGCGGGGGACAAAGAGGCACTAAGAAGCTGGAGGGACAAAGAGGCACACATATCGGCTGGGGGGACAAACAGACATACAGAGGGCTTGGGGGTAAAGGCACACAGGGGCTGTGGAGACAAAAAGACACACAGAGTGGCTGTGGGTGCAAAGATACACATAGAGGGGCTGGAGAACAAAGAGGCACACAGAGGGGTTGGGGGGACAAAGAGACACACAGAAGGACAGGGGTTACAAAAATGCACACTGAGGGCTTGGGGTCGACATGGAGACAAACAGAGGGGCTGAGGGGAACAAAGAGACACACAGAGGGCTATGGGAACAATGAGACACACAAAAAGGCTGGGGATACAAAAATGCACACAGAGGGCTTGGGAGAACAAAGAGACACACAGAGGGGCTGGGGGAAAGAGACACACAGAGGGGCTGGGGGACAAAGAGGCACACAGAAGGACTGGGGACAAAGTGACACATAGAGGACTGGGAGGAACAAAGAGACACACAGGGGGATGGGGTGACAAAAAGACCCACAAAGTGGCTGGGGGGACAAACAGACCCACAGGGTGGCTACAGGGACAAACATACACATAGAGGGACTGGAGGACAAGGAGACACACAGAGGGACTGGGGGAGACAAAGAATCACACAGGGGTGGTGAAAGAACAAAGAGAAACAGAGAGGGGCTGTGAGGATAAATGGGCAAACAGAAGGGCTAAGAACACAAAAATGCACACAGAAGGCTTGGTTGGGACTAAGAGACATGCAGAAGGGTTGAGGGGAACAAAGAGACACCCAGAGAGCTGGGGGGACTAGCAGTCACACATAGGGTCTTGGAGGGACAAAAAGACAAACAAAGCAGCTAAAAAAAGACCAAACAGACACACAAAAGGCAGGGGGGAAATGTTTTATGCTTTTTATTTTTTCTACAAATCTGTTATTAAAAGTTGAAGTTGGCAATTTTTGCTGTTTTTTGGGGGAGGAGAGGAGAGAGGGGGGGTTGTAAAAAATAGTCTAGCACAGGCTCTGGTAATATCAACCACTTTGTTAAGGGCCATACAGGATGAGAGATATTTCAGAATTTGATACAGTTGTTTTTTTCTAACACAGGTTGTATGCCAGACAGGCCCTGTGATAACTCAGACTTTAAGGCATGTCAGCTGAGGGAGAGTTAACATAAGAATATACAAATACACAAAAATACGTCCTGAGCTCAGACTCCCACTAGTCCTGGTAGTTTGTTTATTTAGTGCCATCTGTGTTGTGGAGTAGTATGTGGGCTTAAGAAGCAGAGTTTGAGTCCATTTTGTTTATGCGGTATTGCAGTGCTTAGGCCTCAAAGAGTACAGACCAACTCTCACATGCATCTGCTCACTTTAATGTCCAGGACATGTCCCCCATTCTTCATTTATTTTACCATTCAAGAGAGTTGACTTTACATACTGCTGCTCTGCATGAAACTGTTTAGATGCTGCAAAAGTTAGTAATGTTCTGACTGTGCTAAACCTAACTACAGTTGAAATAGTCCCATTAATCTTCTCCTTACTTCTGAAATAATGCTTTTGCCACTAGTCTAGCTTGGTAAAATTACATTTCCGTCTGCATTCAATTTTTGCTTGAATAGTCACTTGCAACCTTTAGGTAAGTCAGTAAGAATCCAACTTTTGTTTTTGTTTAAGGATTCAATTTCTGTTTTTGCTGTGTCCTTCCATTTAGTGGCTTCTGCTTTAGGAAGGTTAATAATATCATTTCAAGATGAGGGTTCATATGATGACATTGATATTGCAGGGTTGGATACGCAAGTTTCAGGGACACGGATAGTTAAGTTTTGCCATCCCAGATGTTGCGGACTATGTTACCCCAATGCTTTCTCAAAATTAGGGCTGTAAGAGCATTATGGAATCTGTGCTCCACGACTACTGGAGTGTCAACGGTTGCCTACCCCTAGGTCTTGGAGTTGGTTCCAAAATGTCATCAGTTTGATCATTTGTATCAAGTTCAGCGGAAGTGTTAACTTGCTCTCTTCCCACATCTGCTAATGTATTCTCTTGGTTGAAGACATCTATTGCTTCAGCTTGTAAACACTGGGTTCCTATAAATTAGGTTGTTTTTCTACACATTTTTTAAGATCGAAATCACTTGTTACTTATTCCCGTCTTATTAAAATAAACACCACTTCTCACTTTTACTTCTCCTGTTTCAGGATTCAGGATCCTGTAGCCTTTACACCCTCTCTTATCCAATCATGATATGTATCTCAGTTCTGTTGTCAAGTTATGAGCTGAATCAAATGCATGTGTCAGGGGTTCTGTTAAACCAAAGTTCAAATGGAGTTTTATTTGTAGCTTTTGTAGTCTGTTTTGTGTATATATAGCTGTCATCAGCCCAGCCCAACAGCATCAACCCAGTATTCATGTGGAAACCTGTGAATATGTCAGCATGCACTTGATTATCTCCATTGAAGACCGATTGTTCCATTCAGCTATGCCATGCTGTTGTGAACTATATGATACTGTATGCAAGTATTCTTCCCCCTTCTATTCTATATATTCGGTAACATGGTATGGAATCAACTACCCATTGTAGTCTATTAAAACTGCTTGAGTCTTTCTCACAAACTAGGAGTCTTTCAAGAGATGTCATACGATATCTGGAATTACCATCAATAAATGTCAGTATATACTTAATTATACCCAGAAGACATTGGCTGTATTGGACCACATATTTCTGAGTGAATGAGTTGCCGGGGCTTTGCCTTTTGCTGTATTTGGGAATATGATTTCATGTACCTCTCCCTATTAGACATCTTTCAAAAGTCGCATGTATATTCATGAGCAAAAACAAAAATGGAGTACCTCAACCAAAATCTGTAGAAGAAAATCCAAAAATGGTGAGGACAAGGGAAAAGGCCTTAAAATAATCTTTATTGAATACAGCATATATATATATATATATTAAAAAATATAATTCAGTACATCTAAAAACACTGTGAAAACTAAATCACTCATCTGCTCACAAAAGCAAAAACAGAAAAAAATATATAAATTTATATATATAAAATATACTACAATAAGCTATCACTAGATAGCTGCTAAATACTCAAAAAAGAGTGAGGGGGTTAAGTTTGCCCAAGTGACAAACATGAGCAAACAAATCTAGAGAGTATATAGAATATTATAGACTGATAATACCAACGGAGGCAAGTCTAAAGGTAGGAGAAACGAATAGCCTTCCCTATGTAACTAGAATATATCATGTACATACTAAACCAGGGCTGAACATCTAATTGAGCAATGAGTGGGCAAAAAATAGGGTAGCCAGAGACAGGCTGAGGGATAAACCTAATAATGTGTTCTGTTCACTAAACATTATGTTTTTAAGACAGTGCTGGTTAAGAGTCTGATACCTTCTCTCAAGAATCTGAGTAACTAAAAGGACCAATAGAACATGCTGTATTGGTGAAGAAAATGTCAGTACTCTTATATAAATGGTCAGCATGCATCTGTAAAAAATGTGTATGCTGTGAAGAAGTAAATATAAGTATATCACCCAAATCCATTACATTGAGGCACAAGGAGACCTGGTAGTACAACTTGTAATAGAATAAACAAGGTAGTTGAATAGAAGTGCATTTACCTATTTCAAAACATCTGCGTTAGATGGGATACACATTAAAAGGTTTAATAGTAATTATAGAGTTTTCCAATTGACATCATAATTGACACTTTTTTCTGGATAATGATTTACAACCCTACTGCTGTACAGATTTACATAAACTTATTTTGTGTCATACTGTTATTTTTTTACAATTGGTTCTTTGTATACCTATTCCTCTTGCCAAACCTTTTGTATAATGGCTCTGCTTTTGCAACACATCCCTTGTATACACAGTTTGTTACCATTAGCAATGCTTGCATTTTGTTGTAAAATTATTTTCTTTCTTTCTTTCTTTCTTTCCCCCCAAAAATTAAATGATCAATTAACTATGGCATTTGATTTAGATGTTTCTCTAGGTCTCCTATATCAAACAGCTTCATCTTGAATGTTTTTCTTGGTAAAATGACCGTATTTTTCGCTCCATAAGACGCACCTCACCATAAGACGCACCTAGTTTTTAGAGGAGGAAACCCAGAAAAAAAATATTCTGAACAAACTGTTCCATAGTGTTTCTTACCATGGGACAGTTTGTTCAGAATATTTTTTTTTCTCCCCTGTCCCATAATGATCTTTAACCCCCTTTCCTCTGTCCCATAGTGATTGTTAACCCCTCCTACCCTGTCCCATAGTGTTCTTTAACCCCTCCTCCCCTTGTCCATTAGTGTTCTGATCCCATAGTGTCCCCCCCTCCCATTGTCCCATAGTGCACTTTCCCTCCCATAGTGTCTCCCCCTCCCCTTGTCCCATAGTGTCTCCCCCTCCCCTTGTCCCATAGTGTCTCCCCCTCCCCTTGTCCCATAGTGTCCCCCCTCCCCTTGTCCCATAGTGTCCCCCCCTCCCCTTGTCCCATAGTGTCTCCCCTCCCTTTCTCCCATAGTGTCCCCCTCCCCTTGTCCCATAGTGTCTCCTCCCCTCCCCTTGTCCCATAGTGTCCCCCCTCCCCTTCTCCCATAGTGTCTCCCCTCCCTTTCTCCAATAGTGTCCCCCTCCCCTTGTCCCATAGTGTCTCCTCCCCTCCCCTTGTCCCATAGTGTCTCCCCCTCCCCTTGTCCCATAATTACTTACCTGTCTTGGAGCGTGGGCCGGCTTCACAGCGCGCTCCGCGGTCCAGGAACTAATAATTCAGGTTCCGGTTTCCGGCGGGACTAAAAGGAAGTGTGCACACTCAGTGTGCACACTTCCTTTCAGTCCCGCCGGAAACCGGAACCTGAAATAGAAGTTCCTGGACCGCGGAGCGCGCTGTGAAGCCGGCCCACGCTCCAAGTCAGGTAAGTAATTCTTCACATTCGCTCCATAAGACGCACAGACATTTCCCCTCACTTTTGAGGGGGAAAAAAGTGCGTCTTATGGAGCGAAAAATACGGTAGGTATTTCATTTAGACTGCTACTGCCATACATCCTTCTAATACTTTCTATAACTCCTTGGCTGTCTTTAAGTTTTTAATGTTGCATAAATCACTGTTAGTCAAGTGGAGAGCTAAGCTCTTGTTTTCCTGTCCTTTTTCTCCCACTGAATTCTTTCTGAATCAGCTGCTGATGGAGAATCTTCCACTCTGTTCCAAAGATAATTTATCATTCTACATTCTGAACATCCCTACCATGTAATATGTAGATGTGAGAACAGGCATAGCAACTTTCGTAACATTCACAGGTCCAGTGTGTGTGGCTATCTGAAATTTAGCAAAATTGTATTAGCATAACAACAGCATGTAGAAGTCAGGAGACGGATATAAAGATCACAAAGGCAAAAATTACTGCATTGAGAGATAGAGAGAGAGAAAAGTAAGAAAGGCGAGAAATCAACACACCTACAATTTCTCTGTTGAATGTTAACTCCCTTTTTGTTCATCCTTAGCAAAGGTATACTTTAGTAGTGTTGATAAAGAAGTACATTTATGCATGCATTTATGTATGTATGTATAACTTCTTGGCTGTCTTAAAGTTTTTTAATGTGGCACAAATCACTAGTAGTCACTAGAGGAAATCCCATCTTTGTACTTTTTCTCCCACTTAAATGTTTCTGCACCGGCTTCTGGTGGGGACTCTTTCACTGTCTTCCAAAGATCCTTAGTTAGTAGCTTATTCTGCATTCTTTCATACAAGGTAATTTGTCGATGTGAGAAAAAGTACATCAACTAGACATGTGCAATTTGTTTCATTCCGAATGTACATTCGGCAAAATTATGTGCAATTCGGACAGTCAGATGCTTGAATTGGTGCATTTCCGAATTTTTCCAAATTGCTGAATTTACAATTTTATGAAGTGCCGAACCAAATTGCTGAATTTCAGAATTGCCGACATTCCAAAGTGCTTCGGATTTCTGAAAAGTGGCAAAACAAGTGGTTAGGGTTAGGGTTAAAGGTTAGGGGCAAAACAAGTGGTTAGGGGTTAGGTGTAGGGTTTAAGGTTTGGGTCCTAATTACTGAAGTTCCGAATTGCCGAAATGCCGAACCGAATGCCATTGGTCCAAATTCCAAAAGCAGACAAATTTTTTTACTTATCCAAATTTCCGAACCATATTTTTTTGCCCATGCACATCCCTAACATCAACTCCCATAACTTCCAAAGCTCCTTGGTAGTGTCTAGTGGCCCATAATCCTAATGTTGAAATTTAGCAAAGTTGTATTAGAACATTAGAACATAGCAGAGAGAGAAGTGAAAGTGAGGAAATCAGCACATCTGCTACCAACACCAACAGTATGTGTATTTTATTTGAATCTGGACCGGTGTGGACATACTTACTGGATTATTTAGTATAGTCCTTATGGCCCATTCGGACTGCAAAATCTGGACATTCATACAATTTAACAATGTCTGGATTTTTCCCCGAATGGGCATGAATTCAGTCCTGATAGCAACCAAACTGAACACTGGCAGATGGTTGAAATCCAGACATAATTAATTAAATCCTGGTCAAGAGGCTTCAAATCTGTGCCCAGATTTAAAACAAATCTGAACTATTTGCCAGCTGGCTGCCAGCAGCAATGCAAGAGTTAATTATGTGGTGACTAGCCACTGCTTGCTAGACAATAGCCACATTATAAAAAAATGTGTTGTGGCCCTAATTATAAAAATCAAGATCAGGGCCTAAAGTACCCCACCCCCTACCCTTGGTTTGCAGGTGGGACCCTAATGTTGATATTAAAGGGGGAAGCTAGTAATGTGCCCCCCAGCCCTGACCAATGGGCAGCATTTGGGGCCTCTAATTATAAGATCTATTGTTGCACCCATTCCCCAGCTATGGGCCTTGAGTGGGAATCAAGTTAATTAAAGGGGGTGTGTGAGATGCTGTTGTTCACCTCCCAAATATTGGCAGGTCTTCCCCATCATCTGGCTAGGGTTGGGCTAGTAATCCCCTATAATAAAGTAATGTTCCTATCTAATCCCCCTCCACCTGTTATTAAACATACTTACCATCAATAGTCTTCTTTCTTCTAAATATTCTGTTCTTAAGCCCCCAAAAAGGCCAATAATAATAACAAAGTTCCGATGCAACTAATGAAAATTAAAAAAAAACTGAAGACAACCAATCAAGGGTGCTCCCACACCAAGACTCAAGATAAGTGAGAATTCTCTTAAGACTTGGCTCTCAGTGTATAGGTTACCAGCTACTTTGTATAGTATTCAAATGCGAAAGCACCAGTTCTAATCCAGGCATCGAACGCATCTCTGTGATTGATACAGATTCATTCAGGGAGACCAAATTCAGTTATTTTCTCCAGATTTTGTGTTTCCGGATATTATCCAGTATTTAGTGAATAACCCACTTTTATTGCCTAATATTTTTCAATTTAAAATTTTCTGAGAATTAAGTAACGCAAAACCCTGAAGGTACAATACAAAATGTGACAAAATGTCCAAAATATTCCCTCCACTGCCCACATAACGAGAGATTGTGAAGATCCTCCTTAATTAAGTAGCAAAACATGTTCTGGTTAGCTTTTCACGCAGTGAAAGAGATAATATATCTATATTTCAACTCTCAAGAATGCCTTTGAAAATTGTTGAAATTAGTGCATGCTACGTTTTTCTCTATCCTTTCTTGTGTGTGAATCATCAAATCCCATTACTGGGTTAATGTAACTCACTACCCTCTAAAATGAGAGTTACAATTCTTTGTAATGCCTTTTTATACAGGAGCTTAATGCCTCTCCCCCACTGTGTTGTTTTGGACTGAAGATTCTTGATAAACTATTAAACATGAACTGTGAAACTGTAAGGTTAAGTGTGGTTGCATGTGATTTTCAAAATATTCTCAAATAAAATTGGAGTTTGTATAATTTGAGTTCCTTTAGCACAAAGTACACATGATGTATTGTATGTATTGTAATGCATTTTAAAATGACATCTCTCTGTAATAACATATAATTGTATCATTATAAAATAATACAAAATCGTTAAAAGAATCACTTTAATTATATTTTGCTTACAATAGAATAGAAGATTTTATCAGAGCACAAGAGACACATCCAAACAAAGATTCCCATGACCTACAAAACTTCCATCTTCATCTTTTGTGGTTGGCATAAACCATACATTAGTTTTCCCCTGAGGGTCCCTAATGGAAATAAGGCAGTCAACAACCTGAAAAGATCTTGCCAATCCTTATCCCTGGTGACAGGGAAATGGAGAAACACAACAGCCCGGTGGATTTCAGATAATTACGACAATGTTTAAACACTGCGTGAAGTTTAAGGGGCTGGAACGATGCTGCAGACAGTGTGATAGGCATGTCAATGAATTTTGCAGTATGGGCTTTCATTCTTTACTTTACAGTATAAAAAGCTGCATCAGTAAATACTGGTTCTGTCACTATTAGTTTATGCATTACAATGCTAACATAGATAGATGGCATGTCTTTAGCATATCGAAAAACCAAGACTTAGTTTGCATGATCTCTACGGGTAGATTGCTTGACATCGAACAGCTGGTGGTCCTAGTATTAAAGTTGTCATTGTTCTGGAAGATTGTCTCACTCACCAGTAATTAAGAATTCAGACAGAACCACTTCTTCTTTAGAGAGCCATATGTTTAAAGTCAACTATAATAACATTGTTTAAATTGTGCATTGTGAAAAGCTTTCGAAAATTGAATGTGAACTTTACTCAGGAGCAAACTATACAGAAAATCTTGCTCCATGCTATGATTCTCACTTTTTTTGGGCACCTCTAGTAATACATTAATCTTCCAAACAACTCCTTGTTTCAACTTTCCATGTAATAAGAACACATGAAATAATATTTTCTACCAAATACGATTAACGTTTGGATATAAACTGTTTAAAAGTACTCGTTGTTAACTTCTGAATTCCCCATGAGATACACATAATCCAGATTGAGAATTTGAGCGACATCACATTCTGTGTTACAAAACCTCTAATACATGTCAGTTGATTTACCAATGTGCATGGAAACATTGTCACCTTGTCAAATGGGGATTATTAGAAGGAAATGGCTTTTGAACTTAAAAAGGGAATCCGGCCTTGTAAAATATATTAGTAATTTTTTTAACCATGGCTTGTATAAGGTTCTGCAGAACAATCATTAAACTTGTGAATTCAGGTTTATGCCAAATTAAATTAGAATTTAGGCAGATTGGCTGTTCGGCCAAATTCTGTATGTTTGAAGCACCACAAGAACGTATAACGTAGCAGATGAATAGCGCAATGGGCAAACATGTTTGTCTGAATCAGGGTTCAGAGTAACACCACTGGCGCCAAAAAAAGACATTATTGACAAAAAAAAGGTTGATGGCTAGGGAAAACTACTGAATGGCGATTTTATGGCAAGAAGTGACCAATAGAGGGAAAAAAATATTTTCTTTCAAATGTTTCTGTCATGCACAAGCCTAATAATCATCAATATTAATGACTCTGTTGAAAAAAATACCTATACTGATACAGACCCCCACTGTTTAGCAATTGGCAACAGAAAATGGGAGTTCATAGCATAATTTGTTTCTGTTTTTT